TGGACACATATAAGCTATTAATTGTTATTTCCTCTTGGTGTATTGTTTCTTTTATTAGTATGAAGTGACCTTCTTTGTCTCTTTTAATTTAGGTTTGAAGTCCACTTTATCTGATATAAGTATTGCTACTCCGGCCTGTTTGGGGGGACCATTGACTTGGGAGATCATCTTCCACCCTTTCACCCTAAGACAGTGTTTATTTCTGTCAATAAGGTGGGCTTCTTGTAAACAAAAGATTGTTGGGTTTTCCTTTTTAATCCAGTTTGCCAATTGGTGTCTTTTGCTGGGAGAGTTCAGTCCATTAACATTCAGTTAATATTGAGAAGTATGTGGTGATTCATGCCATTTGGTTGTTTTTATTGTTAAGCATTTGTGTGTCTGCAGCTAATTCTGTGCTACTCTCTGATTAAATGAATGTTCTTCTTTTGAGGTTTAATATTTCCAGTACTCTTGTGGTTATGTTTGTTTTTGTCTTCTGTATGTAGGATAACTTTCAGAATCTTCTGTATTGGTGACTTGGTGATCATATATTGTTTTGGTTTCTGTTTATTGTGGAAGACTTTTATTCCTCCATCAATTTTGAATATTTTTGATAGTTTTGCAGTGTAGAGTATCCTTAGACTGAAATTTTTTTCTTGCAATACTTTAAATACTTCACTGCATACCCTTCTTTTTTAAGGTTTATGTTGAGAAATCTGCTGTTATTTTGATGAGTTTACCTTTAAATGTTATTTGATTTTTCTCTCTTAAAGCCTTCAGTATTCTTTCCTTGTTCTCTGTGCTAGTTGTTTTACTGATAATGTGCGATGAAGAGGTTCTATTTTGGTCATGTTCATTTGGTGTCCTGTAGAGTTCCTGTACCTAAATGGGCATCTCTTTCTCTAGATTTGGGGAAATTTTGCTATTATTATGTTGAATATATTACCTTTACCTTTGGCTTTCACCATTTCTCATGCCCATGATTCACAGGTTTGGTCTTTGATGAAGTCACTGAGTTTTTGTGTATTCTTTTTGCAGCACTTATGTCTTTTTCTAACAATTCTTCTGTTTTTTTCTTTAATATCTTTTTGTCTTTGAGTCCTGAAATTCTGTCTTCCACTTGTTCTAATATGCTGGAGTAGCTTTAAGCTATATTTTTATTTGATTTAAGGATTTTTTTATTTCCAGGATTTCTGTTTGATTCTTTTTTCTGAGATTTTCCATATCTTTGTTAAGCTCCTCTTTCATATCTTGTGCTGTCTTCTTTATTTCATATATCTCTGCTTTTATAATCTCCTTTATTTCATTTTGGAGTTTGCTGAAGTCTTCTTTGAGTTCATTTAGTTGTTTCTGTGTCTTCTCAAGTTTTCTGTGTTTTCTTGACTTCTTTGAGTTGTTTTTGTATGTTCTCTTTAAGCTCTGCCATAATTTCCTCTTTGAGCTCCTTTTTGAGATCCTCTCTGAGCACTTCTTTAAGGGCCTCATTAAGCTCATTGGACATACTTATTGTCATTATACTGGGGTCAGCAACTGGATATCATTTCCATCATTTTCCACTAAATCCTCTGTTGAATTATTGTTAGCCTTTTAGGGACTGTATTCCCATGCCATCTTCTTTTCCACATGTTTCTATTCTGTGCCTTGCTTCTAAGTTATTCATTGGCTATTTGTGGGTTTTCCCCACCTGTTATCTTTCCCTTAACTATGCTGTTTCCTGCTTAGTCTTAGCCAGGTTGATGTGCTATTTTGGTTCCCTGATATGGGTGTATAATTTAGCAATAACAAATTCACAGATTCAATGCCAAGCTAGTTATTTACTTAATATGTACAGACCCCCTTGGTGATATTATCTATGAATAGTGGTAACTGATTTGATAATGGGTTTTTGGATAGAAATAGATACTCAGGAATTTAAAAGATGGCACTAGAGAAGGGGGCAGAAAAGGGGGATGTGGTGAGGGGGGTGAGGTGTGGGGGTTATAGAGTAATAGAGCTTTAATGTGTGTTAAGGTATAGTTTGGTTGTTGTGAGGGAGGGTGTTTTGTCAGGAATTGAAGAGGGATAGGACAGATGGGGTAAGGGTATAGTAGACTATTCATTGAGTGATGAGTGTTGAGGTGGTGGGAGCAGTGTAGTGAAATGTAGGGAAAGGCAAAGAGAGAAATGAGGAGAAACAAGGACAGAATGGAAGAAAAGGGCAGAAAAATACTTGGAGAAGAGAAAGGAAAGTGGGGCAAGAGAAGGCTAAGCAGATTGATATTTGGGTATAGAGGAAGAAGGAGATCTGTAACAATGGATTGTAGCACAAAAAGAGATAAAATGAAGAAAAATAAAGATAAGAAAATAATAGTTTAAATTAAAAATAGTAAGTTTAAAAAGGAGGGAAATCAGTCTGCTAAAATCTCTGGATTTATTCCTTTGACTTCAAATCCAGGTGATGGAACTTTGATAGGGAGTTTCTCAGTGTCCCTGTCCCTTCTCAAGTTTGGTATGGTAGACTGTGTGGCAATGGATGTTGCTACTTCTTGTTGTACAACTTTGGGGGTAGTAGGCTCAGGGTGTTTGAGACCATTGCTTCCTTGGTGTGATTGGCTGTCTGATGCAGGCAGGATCTCTGAAGAGGTCTGGCCAGGAAACTGGTTTGTGAACTGTCGCTGGTCCCTTCTGCCCACAGAGCAAATTGCAACTTAGCTCTATGATCACTCACTTTTCAGCTCACTACCAGATTTTCCAAGGTGGTCAAATGTGTTTCTGATTTCACCAGGCAGCAGCTGTGTCACTCTACCACTGCTTTCACTCTGGCATGTCAGTCCCTCCGCCAACAAAATAAGGTAACTCAGCATTTTGCCCACCCATAATCCTGGGATTTAAGCTCAGTGTTCTGCCCCACTCCCACACTGGGAGGTCAGATTCACTTTTTTCCCTACCCCCACCAAGAAGAGGTGAATTATGTTCTCTGTCTATGGCATTCAGTTTTGTTAGTTTTGTTGAGGTGGGGTGCAATCTGCCTGCCAGCTTCACTGGACTATGTGGTCCCCTTGAAGATAAATTATCTGTGTGCTCACCTGTTGGGGTTGCAAATTGACTCTGGCAGAGTTGGGGCCAGTCATGGGGTGCATATATGCTGTGTCTGCATAATGTGGGTTCAGTACATCACAGAATCTAGTTCAATTTTTCCACAGTCCTCTGCTTCTTCCAAGAAAAAGAAAGAAAAAAGGGGGGGTCCTTGAGGTAGACTGGCAAATGTGCTTGTCCCAGCCCATGCTGGAACTTCCCCAGCTGCTAGGTTGACTAAAAGCTGTTTTAAGGGTAAGTTGTTGAACTTTATGTGCACCCTATATGTTGGCAGTAATTTGCTTGGCTAAAAAAAATCAGAATTTCTCTTGTCTAGCTACCATGACTCTGAAATATTTTTCTAAAATTGTATGGCTTGGGGTTTCTGCATTCCTCATCTATCTGCCATCTTGGATCCTCATTTTAAAATAATTTTTTTAATTCAGTAATTCTTCCTTGTTGACAAGAGTGTATATCCATTGGTCTCTGTCATACAATAGATGTTCTCCTCTAATTTCTGGTCATCAGCTTTCTGTCTGACATTCACCTGTTGTGTTTACTCATGTACACCCCCACAGGACCCTGGATTGACCAGGTGTAGCTTGGGAGGAAGGCTCTGTATTATGCATAGCTGCTAGTGTAGAGCCACACAGGTCCTATAATGTAGTAGAAATTTTCAGTGTTTGGGCTGCTCTACTGGGGTTCAGTAGGGCAATTCCAGGAATGTGAGGTAGAAATTGGAGGTTGGGGCGAGGTCCTGAAGCACAGCTACTGGATGAGAAAGAACTGTGCAACTCTTGAAGCCTGTGTTTTTCCCTGCTCAGGGAGTCCAATGGCTGCTCTGGCTTTTCCACGGTGTTCACAGTGTTTTTCCCCCACTTTCTCACCTAGCAAGTAGTTCCTGTCACTTGTGTATATACATATACCCCTTGCCAGCTTGCCTGTATGCCCTTCATTGTCTTGGGGCAAGAGCTGAATGCTGAGCTCTAGCCAGCCAACTACTCGCTTCTATGTCCTTCCTATTGATAGAGACCCTGTCACCCAGCAGAGTTATCCCTCAAACCAGTCCACAGTCATGTGTGGGGGTCTTTAATCAGATTGCTTAGGCAAAACTTTTCTCTGGGGTTAGATGTATTTGGATCTGCACACTGGGCTTACCTGGGTGGCACCCTCAGAAGAGGCTTTATAAATAACTATGCAAAAAACTGTGTACCTTTGTCATAAAATAAAATAAGGTACATTCCACTGGTTCTTAATTTCTTTTAATTTGAATAATTTTTACAGGAAAAAGATATTTATTCCTCTCCATGTCATCCTAAGAGTGTTCTGAAGTCAAGGTGCAGTGGAACAAGCATTTAATTCTAGCTATGGGAGGCAGAGATTGGGAAGATTGCAGTTGGAGGCCAGCCAGGGCAAAAACTTCACAAGACCCAGTCTCAACCAATGTCTGAGCACAGTGACATGTGTCTCTTATCCCCAGCCACACAGAGAAACACAAATGGGATGATCATGGAATAGGCTGCCCCAGGCACAAATTAAGACCCTATCTCAAAATTAACTACAGCAAAGAGGTACAATACTGCTTAGAAAAAACAGTATTCTGTATGTTATTGTAACTATAGACATGCTATTTCTAATATTCTTGATCGTATTACATTGTTCAGGTGAATGTCTCTAAAGTAGGAGTGCATAGAAGGAGGTAGAGGGCAAAAAAGCTAAGAATAAAGAATTCTAGATTACTAGGTTTGTCACAACTGAGAAATATTGCTGAAGGTGTGTGAAACTCAAGTGAAAACATTTTATTTTGTTTGATTTGGATTTAAAATAATTCCAAGTAATTGCTTCATCTTTGTTCACAGAAGGTATGATTTACCAAATGGCCCTAAGCAACAGATAGCATAATTCAAAACATATGAACACATAAACTTAACTAGTGATGAGTGCCTATTTGTTTACAGTGAATTTTCTTTTTCAAAAGGTGTCCAAACAATATAGAATCACAAAATCTAACACATGTCTCAGAATTCCATCTCATCATGCCATCAGAGGATCCAGAACTGCAGCCCATCCTGTTTGGACTGTTCCTGTGCATGTATCTGATCACAATGCTTGGGAACCTTCTCATCATTGTGGCTGTCAGCTCTGACTCCCACCTCCACACCCCCATGTACTTCTTCCTCTCCAACCTGTCCTTGTCTGACATCTGCTTTGTCTCCACCACAGTTTTGAAGATGATTGTGAACATTCAAACTCACAGCAGAGTCATCTCCTATGTGGGCTGCCTGACACAGATGTCCCTTTTTATCCTTTTTGCAGATATGGATTGTATGCTTCTGACTGTGATGGCCTATGACCGGTTTGTGGCCATCTCTCGTCCTTTGCACTATATGGTCATTATGCACCCTCAATTGTGTGGATTCTTAGTTTTGGTGTCTTTGTTGGTTAGCATGTTGGGCTGTCAGGTACACATTTTATTTGTGGTACAAATTACATATTTCAAAAATGTGGAAATTTCTAACTTTTATTGTGACCCTTCTCAACTTCTTGATCTTACCTGTTCTGACAGCTTCTCTAACAACATTTTCAAGTATTTGGCTGTTACCATATATGGGTTTTTCCCCATTTCAGGCATATTATTCTCTTATTATAAAATTATTTCCTCCATTCTGAGAATCCCATCAGGTGGAAAATATAAAGCTTTCTCAACCTGTGGGTCTCACCTCTCTGTGGTTTGCTTATTTTATGGAACAGCAATTGGAGTGTACCTTCAGTCATCTGTATCAAACTCCCCTAAAAAGAATTCAGTGGCCTCAGTGATGTATGCTCTGGTCACCCCTATGCTAAATCCTTTCATCTACAGCCTGAGGAACAGGGACATGAAAAGTGCTCTGTGGAAGCTTCAGAGTAGAATAATCTAATCTCATTATCTTATTCTCACTCTTGTTGCAAGATACTTTTAGCTTCTTAACCTTACCATCCTGTATACACCTCTGTGTCCCCAGTCTCTTTTATTACTGAAAGTTTAATCTCATTATTTCTTCCATACTTTCTATGGTTTGGGTGTGTAAGCCAATCTCCTAGACCTCAAAATTCTTCATTCTTGGTCATGTTATTTTTGTGTCTTCAAGGCTTTTATTTCAGTCTGTTTCATGTCAGAATATTGCTTCTTTTAATCTGTCTTTAGTTGAATTCTGTGAGAATTCCTCAAATCACCAAATTTCTTCTTCCTCACAAAACACTGATTCTAAATCAATGCATTCAGGCAGCATCTATAATTTTTTAGCAATGACCCTTACTTCTAGGTAAAATGCTGAACTTGCTTTTATATATTAAAATTTTACATCTCTTCATCCATTTTCACAGTTCATGTATATTTTCATGTAAAATTACACATAAGATATCTATTTAGGCAATTTATGTCCAGGGATCATGTACAGGTCCTCAAGTTTGGCTTTTATTTGAATCACCTGGGGAGCTTGAAAAACTGATGACTATCCCCTCACCAGAGATTCTGATTTGAATGGACCTAACTAAAGTTTCAAAAGAGCTTCTGAGAGGTTCAGATGTTGTTCTGAAATGGGTCAAGCTCAATTGGAAAGAGAATTGAGCTTATTATGGGAGAAAGTGAGGGGGTTTCCTTCAAATATCTTCCTTTAATTACACTTCTTTAACACCATAGTACTTGTTCTTGTGTTACCTTTTTAGTGATTTTTTCTGCCCCAATTTCACCATTCTATAGTTCTCTTTTGATGCTCCATGGGGACTCTTGAAATCACTACTCTCTTTTCCACCTGTTTTTCTTTAACAAACTTTCATTCATGGTCACTAAACTTCACTTCTAGGAAAAATCAGTATATTTCAGCACTCTTGTCACAGTCTGAAGTCCTTATGCCTTAGAAATCCCCAATTGGCCACTATCTCTGTAGCTACATTGTTTTTCTTTGCCTTTGTGTTATAGTCACCATTCTGTCAATTGTCTATATTCAGTTATCTCTGTTAAAATGATGAACTTGTTTCAATTTTTACTGAATACTAAGTGATAAATCACTACATGTGGAGGTAGTGTGTACTGTGAGTTGTCTGCAGTTAATTTTTTCAAAATGTGCCCGAGAAATAAATATTGTTTTAAATATGTTCCTTTGTTCATGTGTCCAACTGAGAGGTCAGTGGTAGTCTCATATTTCCAGTTGTTGTATATCTCTACTGGTGTCTGAGAATTACTGTCAACAATTTAATTGCACATACCTTGAGCTTTTACTTCTCTTATTTTACCCTAAGATTGCAAATGTCCATGTTACCAGCCAAGTAAACTATTTCTTAACCTAAAATGTAGCAAAGACCTTGTATGTGAGACAATAAATTTGCCTTCCGATATCCCATGGTAAACTTCCCCCACAAGTAATGCTTTGATTATTTTTCTTTTATTTGATGTTTTAGAAAACCATAACTATGTATTAATACCTTGTTGAAGTAAGTTTTGAAGAGTCACAGTAACCAACTAAAAGTGGTTGGTAATCTTTCCTTATGATAGGAATTACAGATAATAGAAATGATATGGTGAAAAAGATCATTCACCATGACCAAGTAGGCATCATCCCAGGAATGCAAGGGTGGTTCAACACACAAAAATTAATAAACATAATAAATCACATTAACAGAAGCAAAGACAAAAACTACTTGATCATCTCAATAGATGCAGAAAAAGCCTTTGATAAGATCCAACATCATTTCATGATAAAAGCTCTAAGAAAACTAGGAATAGAAGGAAAGTACCTCAACATTACAAAAGCAATATATGACAAACCTACAACCAGCATTGTACTTAATGGAGAAAAACTGAAACCATTCACTCTAAAATCAGGAACCAGACAAGGATGCCCACTATCTCCACTCCTACTCAACATAGTACTGGAATTCCTAGCCAGATAAATTAGACAAGAAGAAGGAATAAAAGGAATACAAATAGGTAAAGAAACTGTCAAAATATCCCTATTTGCAGACGATATGATCCTATACCTTAAAGACCCAAAAAACTCTACTCAAAAGCTCCTAGACACCATCAATAGCTATAGCAAGGTATCAGGATATAAAATCAACATAGAAAAAACATTAGCCTTTCTATACCTAATAATGAACAAACTGAGACAGAATATATGAAAACAATTCCATTTACAATAGCCTCAAAAAAAAATCAAATACCTAGGTGTAACCTAACAAAGATGTGAATGAATTCTAGGAAAACTAAACTTCTGAAGAAAGAGAGTGAGGAAGACTATAGAAAGTGGAGAGATCTCCCATGCTCATGGATTGGTAGAATCAACATAGTAAAAATGTCGATACTCCCAAAAGTAATCTACATGTTTAATGCAATTCCCATCAAAATTCCAATGACATTCATTAAAGATTGAAAAATCTACCATTAAATTTATATGGAACACAGAGGCCACGAATAGCCAAGGCAATACTCAGTCAAAAGAACAATGCTGGAGGTATCACAATACCTGACTTCAAACTATATTACAAAGCAATAACAATAAAAACAGCATGGTACTGGCACAAAAACAGACATGAAAGACCAGTGGAACAGAATAGAGGACCCAGATATGAAGCCACACAACTATAACCAACTTGTCTTTGACAAAGGAGCTAAAATATACATGGAGAAATAGCAGCCTCTTCAACAAAAACTGCTGGGAAAACTGGTTAGCAGTCTGCAAAAAACTGAAACTAGATCCATGTATATCACCCTATACCAAGATAACTCAAAATGGATCAAGGATCTTAATATCAGACCACAAACTCTAAAGTTGATACAGGAAAGAGTAGGAAATACTCTGGAATTAATAGGTATAGGCAAGAACCTTCTCAATGGAACCCCAGCAGCACAGCAACTAAGAGAGCATAGATAAATGGGACTTCATAAAACTAAAAAGCTTCTGCTAACAAAGAAATGGTCTCTAAACTGAAGAGACACCCACAGAGTGGGAGAAAATATTTGCCAGCTACACATCAGACAAAGGACTGATAACCAGAATATATAGGGAACTTAAAAAACTAAATTTCCAAAATAATGAACCACATAAAGAAATGGGCAAGTGAACTAAACAGAACTTTCTCAAAAGAAGAAATTCAAATGGCCAAAAAACACATGAAAAAATGCTCACCATCTCTAGCAATAAAGGAAATGCAAATTAAAACCACACTAAGATTCCACCTCACCCCTGTTAGAATAGCCATCATTAGCAACACCACTAACAACAGGTGTTGGTGAGGATGTGGGGAAAAAGGAACCCTCTTACACTGTTGGTGGGAATGTAAACTAGTACAACCACTCTGGAAAAAAATTTGGAGGCTACTTAAAAAGCTAAACATTGATCTACCATTTGATCCAGCAATACCACTCTTGGGGATATACCCAAAAGACTGTGACACAGGTTACTCCAGAGGCACCTGCACACCCATGTTTATTGTGGCACTATTCACAATAGCCAAGTTATGGAAACAGCCAAGATGCCCCACTACTGATGAATGGATTAAGAAAATGTGGTATCTATACACAATGGAATTTTATGCAGCCATGAAGAAGAACGAAATGTTACCATTCATTGATAAATGGATGGAATTGGAGAACATCATTCTGAGTGAGGTTAAGCTGGCCCAAAAGACCAAAAATCATATGTTCTCCCTCATATGTGGACATTAGATCAAGGGCAAGCACAACAATGGGATTGGACTTTGAGCACATGATAAAAGCGAGAGCACACAAGGGAGGTATGAGGATAGGTAAGACACCTAAAAAATTAGCTAACATTTGTTGCCCTTAATGCAGAGAAACTAAAGCAGATACTTTAAAGCAACTGAAGCCAATAGGAAAAGGGGACCAGGAACTAGAGAAAAGGTTAATTCAAGAAGAATTAACTTAGAAGGTAACACACACGCACAGGAAATCAATGTGAGTCAACTCCCTCTATAGCTATCCTCATCTCAACCAGCAAAAACCCTTGTCCTTCTATTATTGCTTATACTCTCTCTACAACAAAATTAGAGATAGGGGCAAAATAGTTTCTGCTGGGTAGCGAGTGGGTAAGGAGGGAAAGGGAGGGGCGGGGGGAGGAGGGAGAAAAGACCCAAACATTGTATGCACATATGAATAAAATAAAAATTTAAAAATTAAATAAAAAAACAAAGGATGTGGGATTGTGGGCGTTGTCACGTGTATAGTGTCTCTTGAATGAGAATTTTGGAAAAAGACAACCACTTTATGAGCCTCTTTTTACTTCTGGTATCTGTCCTCATACAGACAAATGACATTCCTTATTCTATATTCAACTTAATTGGGCATGTATTCAGGTTTCATTATACTATTCAATGACAAAACAATGTCTACTTTTGTCAATCATAAAACTCTTCAGTGAGGTTCTCATACATAAGCGTGGAATGTGTGCACAGGTAATAATTCCCATACAAGCTACTATATCAACTTCAATAAGGATGGGACAAAAGAATATGTTATTAAGGACTTCAATTGTACAAATGCACATATGAAAATCAAAAGGTAATTCATTGTGGAGAAAAAAGGTATATTGCTGGAGAGCAAAAATGAGAAGCCACTGGGTACATTTGCTGCATTGGAATCCAGAATGACTGTAGCTTATTGTGATGTGGTGTTGAGTCCCTATAGGTGGAAAAGATTTGGTGTTGCTCTTTTTCACTCCAGGTCAGCATAGTTGAGATTGTACAAATTTCCAGGACAAAAAGTAGTAGATATACCCATCTGTCAGTTTTTCTTCAGGAATATTATGTTAAAAGACTGGTGGCCTGATGGGTGGGTGGGGGCATACTGGAAAATAGCCTGATATACCTTATTCTTGAGGAGCTTAGAGTAGCATCTTTTTATAAATTTATTAGCGTATAATAT